TTTGAGGAGTGTGCGATTCGTGAGGTGAGAGAGCAAACGGGAATTGTGATTCTTCCTAAGAATCTTAAAAAGGTCACAGAGCATCGATATGTAATGGTCGGTGGATTGCATGTCTGTAATATTTTTTTGACATGTGTTCATGATATCATACCAGTTCACGAGAGTTTGGAGAATGATATGTGGAAAAAGTTTGATTATAAGGAGCTTGATAAGCTTGATTATCAATTAATATATTCCTTGAGAGCGGTATATGATGATATTAAATATAATATTCGTAGTCTTAGGATAAATAATAGAAGTATGAAGAAAAAAATGATGAATGGTGATAATAAAAAGAGAGCACGTAGTGAATCTGATGATGATGATTCCTCCGATGACTCTAGAAGAATCTCTGATGACTCAAAGAGAGTCAAGTTGAGATAAATTGTATTAAATAATATCAGAAATAAAATAAAGTGAACCTCACTCAGTGCTATTGCACCGGGTTGAGGAGTTATGCATGTAACTTTGTCATGATTTCATATTGTTCGATGTTTGAAGAATGTGTCAAGTTGATTAATTTGACATATCAATTTATTTTACTTATTATATTTAGTATCGTGGGTCTCTTAATTGTCAAGATGAAAGAGTTTAACGTTGTTGAGTTACTCGGTGCTAGTATACCCACTATTCGTCCGAAGGAAACCAAGTTGATCATTGTGACAGGAGCGATCGCGGTGGGAAAGACAACTTTCGCATGAGATCTACTCGAGCATCTTATCAATCAAGAATATTATGCGATATTACGTGTGGAGATGGCACGAACACTTGATGGTGAATTGCGATTATATCAGGGTGATTCGAAAAAATATGCATTCTTCTTTCAGTATGCGATGATCTGAGCATATTATAATGAGATGGAAGAAATCAAGAAATTGAAAAATTACGATTATATCATTCTCGATAGAACTTATCTTGATACGATTTTATTCACAAATGTGATGATTCCAGATGAAGATGGAGAAGTCTTGAAGATGCTTGATGATGAATTAAATAAGCTTGAGTTTCCATTTGATGTCGCGAAGGTGATATATCTGAAACCATCTTGTGATAAGATGTTAGAGCGTTACAGGATTCGTGAACTTAATGAGTATGTGAAGGGTGATGGTGTGGATGTGGGTTATGATGATGATTATCTTATCGCAATTTATGATCAATATGACTTGTGTATGGAGAAGATGTATTCGAGTTATATGATGGTTGTAAATGATGATGAAGGATATGATGCAATTTTAAATCAAATTGTTATTTAATCTTTGAATTATTGATCATATATTTGAAATAAAGATATCTCATCCGGTGATACGTTCACCAGGGTGAGAAAAAAATTGCATAAAGATGGAAATGATAACACGTGAAAATTTATTGATTGATGATTGTGATTATGATGGTGTGCAGTTTCATTTTCTTCCTATTGATGTTGATGAATCAACATTATATGAAACCGGTGATTATATATTGAGATTACATGGAATTTTGACAAATGGTCGTAGGATGCGAATTGATGTGTGTGGGATTAAACCATTTTTTGATATTCTGATAGATGGGGTGAATGTGGATGAGATGTTATCAGAAATCAAATGTGAATCGCATGAGGTGATTCAAGCAAAACCAATTAATTTGTTTTGTGGAAATGCTAAGGAATTTGTTCGTTTTTACTTTAAGAATAGTGGAATTCGATCGAAACAATTGAAAATGGTGAAGGATCGATATGTGACATATTCTAACGATCTTACGTTTCACTATCGCAAGGTGTTAAGAGAGGGTAAGATTGATGTGACATGATGGAAGATGATTAAATCAAGTGAATTGATATATGGGAATAATCAATATCGAAAGGTGTTAAATGTTCATCGTGATCATATAATCAATGGTCAGAATCCCCCAAAAAGGAATCGAATTATGATTCTTTGTTGGGATATCGAGACTTATAGTTCACGTGATGGTGGTGAGGTTCCAAAACCAGAATATGATGAGGATGAGGTATTCATGATATGTATGACGGTGCATTGGTATGATGAGAATGAACCAATTCGAAAGATTTGCTTGTGCACTCAGGATTTGAATGAATGTGAGGATTGGATATTTAGGAGATCATATTCTCAAGAACAGATGATAATGAATTTCGCATATTGTGTAAGATTAATTAACCCAGATGTGATGATGGGATTTAATGATGGTGGATATGATTGGCCATTTGTACTCAAGAAAGCTGAACGATTGAATTTACTGCAAGATTTTGTGAGTGTTATGGGTGGAACGAAATTTAAAGGAAGTTCGATCATTGATGCAGGTTATAATATTTATGAGAATAATATTAAGATTACGGCTCAAGATAATGTCAAGGTGATGTATTTTCGTAGATTGGGAACGTTGATGATAGATGTAATGGTATCATTTCGAAAGATGTATCCAAACTCGGAGAGAAATTCACTCTCTCATTTTCTGAAGATGACAAATCTTGAAGGAAAGGTGGATCTATCCCATTTAGTTCTGAGGAGATATTACCGAGATTGCAAGGAGGGAAATGTGTCAGTTGAGGAATCAAGAGAAAATATGGGTGAAATTGCACAGTATTGTATGGTGGATGCAAGACGTTGTCAGGAATTGATGTTGAAGATGAATGTGATTGATTCATATCGGAAGATGTCGAGTATATCTTATGTATCAATTTTCGATTCGTATTGTTATGCGGGTGGGATCAAGGTGTGTAATTTGCTTGGTACGATGGCTTGTGATATGAATATTTTGATCAATATGATTCGAGATGATAATGTGGAGGAGGGAAAATACCCTGGGGCATATGTATACGAACCGATAAAAGGTTTGAATAATCGAAGACCAGTTACTGGATTAGATTTTGCGTCATTATATCCAAGTCTCATGATGACATATAATTTATCTCCTGAGATGATGGTTGTGAATCAATTGGAACGTGATCGGTATTATGGGATGGGTTATCAATTTCATGAGATTGAATTTATGTTCAATGAGAGAAAGATCAAAGCGTGGTCGATAAAACATGAAAATGCAAGTGATAGTATGGGACTTTATGTAATTGTTCAGGGACACCTAAAGGATAAGCGTAATGAGATGAAATTAAAGATGAAACAGTTGGGTGGAATTTTGGAGGAAAAGAGATCAAGAGATGAATATAATGATGAGTATGCAAATCTCGAGTTTCAATATAACCAAGCGAATCTTGAACAATTGGCATTCAAGATTTATATGAATAGTTTTTACGGAGAAGCTGGTAATCCGTTATCTCCGTTCTTCATGCGTGAATTAGCCGGAGCGGTTACATCATTTGGTCAATATAACATAAAGATGATTGCAAATTATGTACAGGAATTAGGATTCAAGGTTCAATATGGAGATACTGATTCATTATATCTTACATGTCCAGAGATGCACTATGAAGAACAGGATCAAAGGTATCAATCGAATGAATGTGATAAAAATGAATATTGGACAGAGATGGTGAAGATTACGATGACAGTAATGAGTGAGTTGCGTAAAAAGGTGAATGAATATTTGTATCATGATAATGGTACACGATTCCTTAGTATGGCATATGAGGAGGTTCTTTTTCCAGTGATGTTTACTGGTAAAAAGAAATATTTTGGTATTGAACATGTTAATATGATCAATTTTCGACCTCAGAA